CACCCCCGCGCCGCCCCCCGTGACCCCTCGCCGCCCCCCAGGCCTGTTCCAGAAGGCCATCGCGCAGAGCGGCACGGCCATCGCCAGCTGGTCCGTCAACTACCAACCCCTCAAGTACACGCGGCTGCTGGCGGCCAAGGTGGGCTGCGAGCGCGCCGACACCGGCGCCGCCGTCGAGTGCCTGCGGCGCCAGCCCTTCCGCGCCCTGGTGGACCAGGACGTGCAGCCCGCCCGCTACCACGTGGCCTTCGGGCCGGTGGTGGACGGCGACGTGGTGCCGGACGACCCCGAGATCCTGATGCAGCAGGGCGAGTTCCTCAACTACGACATCCTGATCGGGGTCAACCAGGGCGAGGGCTTGAAGTTCGTGGAGGACTCCCTGGAGAGCGAGGACGGCATCTCGGCCTCCTACTTCGACTTCACGGTGTCCAACTTCGTGGACAACCTCTACGGCTACCCCGAGGGCAAGGACATCCTGCGGGAGACGTAGTTCAAGTACATGTGCCACTGGGCCGACCGCGACAACGGCGAGATGCGGCGCAAGACGCTGCTGGCGCTCTTCACCGACCACCAGTGGGTGGCGCCGGCGGTGGCCACGGCCAAGCTGCACGCCGAGTACCAGTCGCCGGTGTATTTCTACACCTTCTACCACCACTGCCAGACGGACGCGCGGCCGGAGTGGGCGGACGCGGCGCACGGCGACGAGATCCCCTACGTCTTCGGGGTGCCCATGGTGGGCGCCACGGATCTGTTCCCCTGCAACTTCTCCAAGAACGACGTCATGCTCAGCGCCGTGGTCATGGGTTGAGTCAACAGTTGGGTCAATGGATTGGTCAGCTGTTGGGCTAAAGGTTGGGTCAATGGTTCGTCAATGGTCGGGTCAATTCTTGGGCCAATGGTTGGGTCAATGGTTGGGTCAAGGGTTGGGTCATTGGATGGGCCAACAGTTGGGTCAATGGTTGGGTCAAGGTTTAGGTTAATGGTTGGGTCAAGGGTTGGGTCAGTGTTGGGGTCAATGAATAGGTCAATGGTTGGGTCAAGGGTTGAGTCAACGGTTGGGTCAATGGTTGGGTCATTGGGTGGTTGGGTGGTCAGTTGGGTGGTCAGTTGAGTGGTCAGTTGGGTGATCAATTGAGTGGTTGGTTGGTTGACTGGTCAGTTGAGTGGTCAGTTGAATGGTCAGTTGGTTGGTTGAGTGGTCAGTTGGGTGGATGA